TGGGGGGTCGCTCGGGCGAGACCGTGACTCTCCGTAGCTGTCCAGGGGCTGCAGTCCCGGGCAGGCCGAGTCCTCTTTCCCGCTGCGTTCGGGGGCATGCCGAGAGCGGTGGTGACGAGCGGCACTGGAGCTGGGCTTGCCGTTTGTTTTCGGTGCCTTTGGCAGCGTGTGCTGCTCTCCGAGGGGTGGCGTGGCCGAGGGCAGTGTGTTTGGATGACTCAGATCCCAGCTGTTGGGCTGGAAACTCCCGTAAGGAAGTTAGCTGAGGAAACAGGAACTTTATGGGGAGAAGCGTCTTTTCAAGGCGTTAGGAGAGGCCATGGAGGGCAGTATACAACCTTTATATTTACCAGACTGTAAATACTAATATAAGATTTATTTAGACGTTGCCTCTTGGCTTTGCCGTATATAGGATCTTCTTGTCTGTAGACAGAAAGAACCTTTACTCTAACCTTATCATCTGCCCCTGCTTGCCTGGTGAACTTGTACATTGCAGCTGTTATCAGGGGAACCAAACCTGCTTTGTGTGGTTATCCTGCCTGAGGTTACTACAGCAAACCTCTTCGTGTTAATCAGAAGCAGTCAGTACCCCTGCTTCGTAGCACTGGGAGTTAAAAAAAAATCATTTGAGCAATGCAGTCTTTTTCTATTACAATCCCCTCTACTGATAAATTAAAAACTAGTACCATGACCAGAAGCAGAAAAATACTCAATTAAAAAAAAACAAACAACAAAAAGCAGCTCCCAAACCCTTGAAATGCTAGTGAGCCATGGAGGATAATAAATAAAACTTCCAGTAGTAGTAATTTCTTTAGATATATATGAAGAACTTCTGACTCATCTAATACCAGGGTTAATGACTGCAAGTGAGATAGGCAGAAACAGAAACTTCAGCATTAAATCTAGTGATAGGACTAGTCATACAGTTAGAGATATTTTTTTAATAGGAAATTTAGTGACTTTATTTAGGAAGATAATGGAAGACATGTAAAGAAAACTTGACATGTTGAGTGTTTAGCAGTGATCAGTTCTGAATCCATCAAAGAACAAAAAACTATTGAATCAAAGGAACTCTAACATGTTATATATATTGTTCAGTCATATTGTTATAATTTGAAGATTAAACCTGAATGAGACTTTATATCTTGAAAGTGAAGACGCTGCCAAAAGAGCGTAGACTTTGTTGTTATAAAAATAATCGTGATTTTTTGACAAAAAATTGTGTAATACTGCAACATTGACTTTGGTTTGCCACTGGATATGTACCCTGGGATTAATATTACTGTATTTTTATTTGTAGTTTTAAGAGTGAAAAAACCCAGACCTTGAGAATCTATTAGTGATGTGTTGGAGGTTTTTTTAATATCCACTGAATGATATTGGAGCTCATCTGTTGCAGACTTGTCCTTTCATTTTGTTTCTACCCATTGACCTTATGCAAATTTAATTAGAAATTAAGAAGATAAAGGAAAAGAGCTGATCTCGTGCATAAGCTACCTTATCTTTCTCACTTTGGGAAGTGTAATAATTCTAATAGGCTGCAGAATTTTTTCTTTTGGTATTCGAATAGGCAGTGGTGAAGAAATTCTGTGCGCTTTCTGTCTGCTTAGTAAGGATTTGTTATGTTTCTGTGTGTTGGTAGGAGTCTAATGAATCTTGCTTTGAAGTATATGACCAAATACATGTTCACTGATAAGGTGCCAGTTGCTTTGTTACATGCAGGGTTTTAATTAGGAGGAATTTTTTAATTTGAAGATTTTACCAGTGGGTTATAGAGCAGGCTATGCATTATTTCCTTGCATCCCTCCTCCTTACTTTCTGTATCTATATCATAGATAGCTCCTTGGCATCTACAGTAATTGTCAGAGAAGTTATCTTACTTTTTTATTGCAAATTGTCTTGTCAGAGTTATCAGAGAGTTGTAAGGGTTTGGGGTGTGGTGTTGATGGGGTTTCTTTGGTTCAGAGCTGACATAAAACCTTTTGTTACTTCTATAGACCTTAAAAATTTTATCTGGACTTTACAGATGGCATTGCTGCATGACTCTGAATTACTTTTAGAGTAATGTCAGGTCTTTGCATTGTGTCACTGTGCTACATGTCATTGCCTGGATGCTGTGGGACAGATTTCCAAGAAACTTCATGCCTTACATGAGCGAGTAGCTAAACGGAAATATGAAATCCGCAGTTGTTACACATAGAGAAATGTGTTCAAAGTCATGAGAAAATGTCTGTCTGCAGCACGGTGTGGGTAGGATGAGAACAGTGCAAAGGTGTGTGCTCCAGCTAGCTGCTGGAGCTGGGTGGGTGAGCGGTGCTGTGGTGGCTGGTGTGCAGCTTGCTCCACTCTCCCGTGGTGCACGCTGTGAGGCTTCTGGTGCTGTCACCTTGTGCACCAGGGAGCTCTCAAAAAGTGCCAGTCACCGTCTTCTAAGAAACGTGGGGGAAATTCTGTCATACCTCTTCTTCTGTAGGTACAGGAAAAGCTGCTTTGTTTTGAGTATCAGCCGTTTCCTGTCAGTTAACACAGGCACATGCAATGTCCCATACTAAGCTGAGAAAACACTGCTGCTGTAGGACCTTCCCCTGCTCCACCTGCCATTGCATTCTTAAGATTCTTTACATCTGGGAAGCTGCATCTTTGATTTTAGACCCTTTTGCTATATTTAATGGCAAAATCAGTGCTTAAATTATACCGGAAAGTTAAAGGTTGTCACCTGCAGCTCCTGCTGTATGGCGGGGGGGAAATCTGGCAGCTCTAATGGCGTTTTTAATCATTTTAATTTAATCAAACTTCTTTTTTCCTCTTCCTTTTGAATCTGTGAAGACTGAAGTATCTGACAGTTCACATTTCAGGAAGGGTGGGGAAGCCAGGCTGTCTATAGAAATCATGTGACATATGCAGTGTGAAGTTTTAGAAATGGGAGAAATTTCCCTTAATTTCTTGCAATAGCATTTGGTGGTTCTAGCAAGTAGCTGAAAATACTTGTCTCAATTGTGGCTCGTATCTAGCTCATGTGAAAATATCTTTTGTGAGTAGTTAGCCACTTCCCTTACAGCTGTGCTGAAGTGCAACTTCCAGAGACAAAGTGATTTAGAAGATCTGTATACATATCTGCCATCATCTCTAATGTCTGTTCTTTGTCATATATACAGAATAATGGAATTCAATGACAGGTCTTCTTCCGTAGAAGGCCTTGTGTGTGTCTTTTTGACTCTTTTTCAATAGTTTTTGTTACTGTATCATTTAAACACTGTGTACAACAGTAAAGGGATTATAAAGCATTGACTTTTCCAGTTGATTTTTCAAACAAAGTATGGGGAGTAAAGACCTTAAATACAGAGAGGTGATTTGTCTATGGCATTAGTTTTGATTGTCGAACTTATTTTTCTTTCTGTGTTTTACCTCTTCTTCCTCTTCTTGGTTGTTCTTAATTCTGCATGTCTTCAGAGTTATGCTTAGGTTTTGGGTTTTGTTTTTTTATTTTTCCTTCTAGTTAAAATAAGTCCCTTTCTTGTATTTTACTAAATTATAATTCAGTGTATTGACCCCTTTGTTTCTAAGGTGAAGAAGAAAACTGTCTAATCAAAGAAGAAAGATGCAGAGTACTTCGAATTACCTCTGGCTGTTGTCTGACATTCTAGGACAGGGAGCTACTGCAAATGTTTTCCGGGGGCGACAGAAGGTTTGTGAGGAATTGCTGACCTGAGTAATATGTATAAGTTACATTTTTTCTTATTTGAGTGGATTCCTCAAATCAACAAAGGAATGTTCAAGATTTAGGCCTAAAGCAAATATATCCATGTAAATATTCATCCTTAGTTTTAAATTTTTACTATTCATCTCTTGAATTAGAGTTCTGTACAGTTATTTCTGAGGATTTGTTTTTAATGCTGTATTATTTGTCCTCGTAGAATATTAACTGTTATTCTTTCTTCATTCCTCTGTTCTTTAGTTATATGGAGAAAAAAAATTCCCTGCTTGAGAATTTAAATAGGAATAAAAGGCATACCAGTTTTAATTACATGATTCTATGATTTTTATGTTTGCTAAGTTGTCTGTTAATTGCTTTTCCCTGTTCTTTTAAAGCCTGTTTGGGTGATATTTATGATTTTGTACTGTGAAATTTTCTAAATGTGTTACCATATTGAGTGAAGTTCTTGTGTGTAAGTCAGTGCTTTGTACATGTCTAGGACACCACCTTCTTGGTGACGTGCCATGAGTAACCAGCGCAAAAAAATACATCTTTGAGCATTTTTGCCATGTAAATGACATGATGATGTTTGTGTTTCAACCTGAGTGAGGGGCTAAAATGACATTACTTATGTAGGTCATTCCGTTCCTATGAGTTTCCTGGTGTGTCTCAAAGTGAGGGTGAGTGTAGTTGCGAACATGTGTTCATTTGTAGTAATGATAGGCTGTGTGAAATTGGTACGATGTTATTTGTAAGCTACAGTGTTTCTGTGTTCCATATTTTAAGTGTGAAGCAACACTAAGCAATAATTTAGCAGTTAATCTGCTTTTCTAGGTGAGTAAATTTGCAACACAGAATAGTTCCCCTGTAAAGCTTATGGTTCCACCTCTCATCACCCTCACTAGTCTGAGCCTGTGACCTGCAGCTTATTGTCAATGAGAGAAAGCTTTTACCTGGGCACCAGCAGTGCCGGGTAAGTGTGCTGTACAGCACACCTCATCTGAGCCCAGGAAGGCCTTATCTTTAGGATCTGTTGCACACAAGACAAGTGTAATGTCAGCTAGAGTGGGCACAGGGAGATTCCTTGCCCTAAGAGGGATGGGAGTTGCACCTTCATCTGGTTCGGTGGGTGCCTGAGCTTGGTGGTGCTTAGTCCCACTTGAAGACTTAAGTCTGATTAAACTCATGACGATGCTCCTGACACTTATGTGGGTTTGAACTGCTGGAAGAGTTTGCATAAGTGGTATGAGTGCTCAGAAGTGCCTTTTTTTAAGAAACAAGGTACTAGTTTCTCAGTGTAAATGGAACAGTAGAGAAAGAGAGCAGCATTCAGGTACTGGAAATTGTCTCTTAAGCAAGCCAAAATCCTCAGCTATAGCATGTGCATGCCTCTCATTGATTTGTACAAGTGGCTTACCTCTTGCTGAAAAATTATTTTTCAGCTAAATTTATGGGTAATTCTTAAATGCATAGCCTTTCTTACACCACCCGTTCTTCTAAAAAAGCACTTAGAATCTGTGAGCTAACAAGTTTCCTTTCTGCTAGTCTGTTTGCTTCTAGCCTATGCTAAGCTAAACTAATGTATACGTATTTATTATTTTTTTTAGTAGAATCTTAATTTCCACCTTAACACAAAATACCATTTGGAAATATTTCTAGTCTGGTTATGATCACATGCACAACAGAAGATCTCAAAATATTTGGATGATGTCTATGTGTACATTTATGTTCTTTGGGTTCTTTTTGATCAGTAGTTTGTTTGTTTTGAACAGAAAACTGGGGATTTATATGCTGTCAAAGTGTTTAACAGCATAAGTTTCCTGCGTCCTGTGGATGTTCAGATGCGAGAGTTTGAAGTATTGAAGAAACTGAATCATAAGAACATTGTCAAATTGTTTGCCATCGAAGAAGAGGTAATGCATTGTACTTGTGATCTGAGATACATGGAAGTAACCACAGTAACCTTTTTTTGTTTCATCCTCAACTATAGAACATACAGTTACATTTTTTAAGAATGGTAACATTCTTAATACAGTGATATAAATACTATGACCCAACTACCACCATTTTTTGTTGTTGCTGTTGATAGAATATTGTTGCTTTCAGTAGGTGAGACACTGCCAGTGTATAGGCACATTTTTAAAGCCATCCCAAGTAGCCACTGTCCTAAGTTTTCTTTATCATGAATTAGGAATTTTAAGCTACCTCCACATATGGATATTTAATACATACTCATAGTTGGAGGTATTTTAATAATCCTGACAACTTTATGCTTCTGCTTTGCAACAAACTAAAATAATTATATAGGACATGTATAACTGTATAACAGTATGATCTGCAGTAGTTGATCTGAAACCAAGACTGATCAGTTGAAATGACCCAGATGCTAAGATTAGTAAAAACAGTTGGTGCTCTCAGCTCTTCTGGTGTGTAGTTTCCCATTTGTTCACCTATCAGTACTGCTGTCAACCCACTAAGTGCCTAGAACTTGAGGCTTTCTTAATTTTTTCCCATCTCCCAATTAGAATACATGAAACAATATAAAAATCCATCTCCATTTCTTGTAAAGATCATCAGAGTGGGATTTATGATATAGCTACAGATTTTGTGGGGTTTTTTTTAAGATCTTGTGATTATATATGTAATTTTTGACATTGTTGTCACAATAGTCAGAGACTTAATCTTTTGTAATATTTTTCCAGACAACAACAAGACACAAAGTACTAGTTATGGAATTTTGTCCATGCGGGAGTTTGTACACAGTTCTAGAGGAGCCATCTAATGCCTTTGGTTTGCCAGAGTCTGAGTTCTTAATTGTTTTGAGAGATGTGGGTATGTAGACTTTGTTCTTTGGTCTAATTTGGTGACTGAAACAAACTCATACTTGTTTTGTTTATCTTGAAACGGCGAGAGATGAGGGATTTAAATGACTCTCAACTAATTGAACAAGTTAATATGATCACATATGGTCTTTTATTTATGTCTATGTTGGTAAAGGTAGCTGCATTAAGAAGCCATTTCTGTTTAAAAGCATCAATATTATTATTTTGTTTGCTTTTTCCAAGGTGATTTTTCATATGCTGAACCAACTTCTAGTAATAATTTCAGAAGAGTAAATTGTAAAAATAGTATGGTTTACCTGTGCCTGCCTGTTATAAAATTTTCTTCCACTACTTTGTGGGAAGGATGTTACTGAGAGCAAGAAATGCTGTAATTTAGCTGTTTGAAAGGGAAAAAGCAAAAGCAATAATCTCTGCTCCTGGTCTTTTTATTAATTGAGTGTCCTTTCTCATTCCCATGAGAAACTAAATGCGCCTTCCTGGTATGAGTTACAATTCAATGTTTGTGCAGTCTGCAGCAAGATGTGTACGTAAATTCTGTGTTTAATTTTTGAATCAAAGTGGCTGGGATGAACCATCTCCGGGAGAATGGAATAGTGCATCGTGACATCAAACCAGGCAATATAATGCGTGTGATAGGCGAAGACGGTCAGTCTGTGTACAAACTTACAGACTTTGGTGCTGCAAGAGAACTTGAAGATGATGAACAATTTGTTTCTCTCTATGGCACAGAGGAGTATTTAGTAAGTCCCTATGAGTTAATTTTCTGTTGAAGAAATGTTTGATTAGAATTGCATAGGTGAATTAGTATTGGGAATTAGTGTTTAAACCTTTGTGTTGTAATTGTTTTTCTAGCTTTCCACTGGAATTTTTCACCTTGAGTCATGCCAGTTCTTCTGCTGATCTGAGCACAGTAGTCTTGAAATAATTTCCAGGTCCAGCTTCAACTGTTGCGTTGTGTGAAAGTAGGAACAACGATATTTAGGTTATGAATGCTTTTACTTTTATCTCTGTAGGTATTTTTTAGGTCATGTTTGGGCTACTTGGATGACATTATGTGTAGCTAAGATTCGCTTGACACGTTAGTTACCAGAGAGAGGCAGGCAGAGAAGCATCAGTACAAGCACCTTAGGCATGATTTCCCACATGTGCAGCATAATTGATACTCTCCTCTGCTGTGGATCTTCTTTCAGTTTCGTTTCTGTTGCTTCAAAGTCATCTGAAGAAATACTTTCTCCTCTCCTTTAGTCATGCTTTAGTCTAATAGTCACTCTTTAGCTGAATTTGAAAATATATTTTTCAAACTTTTAACTAAAGTGACTGTCATTACTAGGAACTTTAGTGATGTTCTATCAGAATAGCTTAAGCAAATTCCACAATACAAACTCACTTTGCTTTTTGATTAAAGAGCTGAAAGTTTAGAATTATCATGCTGTGAAAGGATAGATTGGGCTTTTGTTCTTTAATTGTTGCAATTCTAACTTCTTTTTTATTAACTTCTTTTTTCTCTTTAGCATCCTGATATGTATGAACGAGCAGTTTTGAGAAAAGAGCATCAGAAGAAGTACGGAGCAACAGTTGACTTGTGGAGCATAGGGGTGACCTTTTACCATGCTGCAACAGGGAATTTGCCTTTCCGACCTTTTGAAGGACCGCGTAGGAACAAGGAAGTGATGTAGGTAATTTAGAAGAGTTTTATCTGTAGGTAAATTAAATCAGGCCATGAAATGCTTTTTGGCAAGAAATCTTACACATATACAATGTACACTAAAACAGTGAAAATATTAGAGGAAAAATGTTCTTTAACTTTGTTGTGGTTTAGCCCCAGTAGGCAGCTGAGCACCATACAGCTGATTCATTTCTTTGCAGTGGCATGGGGAAGAGAATTGGAAGGGTAAAAATGCGAAAACTCTTGGGTTGAGTTATAGACAGTTTAATAAGTAAAGAAACCAAACCTGCAACAAACACCAACCCCCAGCCCATAATCCCAAAGGAAAACAGAACTAAGAAAGACAAGTAATGCAAAATACACATTTGCTCACAACCAGTCAACTGATGCCCAGTCAGTCCCTGACCAAATGCCGCTCTGGCAAATTCTCCCCTCTCAGCTTCTGCTGCTGAGCATGATGTCATACGGTGTGGAATATCCCTTGGGGTCATCTGTCCTACTTTGTCCCCTTCCAACTTCTTGCCTGCCTGGAGCTTACTCGCTGGTGGGGCAGTGTGAGTAGAAAAGGCCTTGACACTGTCTAAGCACTGCTCAGCAATGGCTAAAAACATGCCTGTGTTATCAACACTGTTGGTCACAAACCCTAAACACAGCCCTGTACGAGCTCCTATGAAGAAATTTAACTCTGTCCCAGCTAAATCAGTACAAACATTGTGGTTCAACGGGGATTTTACTGTGTGACACCTTACAACCTGAATTAAGCATCAGAGCTCCCCCAAAAGATTGATGTTTTTCGACACATCTTTCTTTCAGCATGGCACTAGGCTGGTGTTTTGCACTGTGGTGTAAATAACTTGGGTATTTGGGCAAAATTATGGTATTCTGAAATGTGTGCACAATACCCATGAGACTAACGTTTTTGGAGTAGCACAGTTGCGGACTGTGACTGAGGATAATAGGGGTAGTTCCTGAATGGAAAACAGAAGTTGTGTGTATGATGTGATGCTTGTAATGGATTTTATCTTAGTCTAGTTCTACTTTGTTGTTCTATTCTGTTGTTCAGTGTGTTGCATTTGAAAAATAAAGCAAGGTGGTACTTGGGAGCTCTAACACACTGATAACATCTCCATTCTGGTAATCTTGTAAAGCTGACTCCGGTTTTGTTAGTTGAAGAAATTGCCCATCTTGTGATTTTCCCACAGGCAGCAGCATTCTTGTATCTGCTTGAGAGATCAACAAGGAACATATGTTTTGTATGTACCTTGTTCTCTTAAAAGGGAAAGCACAACTAAAATTTTCTGCTGCAAAAAGCCTGTTGCTTCTGATTCATTTCATGAGAAATCTGAGAAATAGTAGCCTGTGCAGTACAAAGTTAGGCCATACCAAATTGCATCCAGATTTCTAAATTTCTCTATCCCCAAGCTACTTTTCATGGTTAAGTGTCATTTCTTGCTGTGGAACATGCTAGAAGTTAGTCATGTTAATGTCTAAATCGAAGTAAATTGACTTTGATTAAATAACACTTGTGAAAAACTTTGGTTTCCTACAGTGATGCTGGAAATACCTCCTAAATTGTTCCCCAAGCTTGAGGTAGACAAAGTTGTTTCTCCAGTATAGCTGTTTGTTTGTTACTCTTTTAGAACTATACTGTTAGCTTGTAAGTGAAGCCTCCTAATTATTGAGCTATCTACAAATTTAGGCCAACCTGTTGTTTCGATTTGTAATAGTGCTGCCTCTTTGAGGATTAGTTACTACACCTATGTGTATGTAAGAGGTAGTAGTTGAAGTCTGTATACATATTTTTATGATGTATTGCAGGTATAAAATAATCACTGGAAAGCCTTCTGGTGCTATTTCTGGAGTACAGAAAGCAGAAAATGGACCAATTGAGTGGAGCTGGGAGATGCCTGTTTCTTGTAGTCTTTCAAAGTAAGTTTGAACTGCTCACAAAATGTTTCAGTGCTATGTGATTGGGCTTTTCCTCTTACTTTGTCAGGAGTGTGTCTCTGGAACAAAGATCTGATGCACCTTTGGTTTTTTTGACCTCTTCAGTATATCAGTACAGTCCACTGTTAGGTTATCGAGTTAATGTTTCTTCCCATCTGTCTAAGTAACTTTATGATTGCTAGTAGGAGTACCTGAGAATCTGAAGTGGTATGAGTAGATGAAAGATTATTACCCCCAGGAATGAGTATGAAGAATGAATAACTTTGACAGCCCACCTTTCCTGCAAGAATGTGACTTCAGACATGAGAAAGTTTAGGCAGTAGAAAGAAAATGATAAGAAAAGACAGTGGCGTACTTTTTGCCAGATAAAAATGTCACATCAGCACATTTTAACATGTTCTTAGAGTATCTTTTAAATTTTATCATCATATTTTTGTTTCATATATCCATGATAATCAGTAGGAAGAGCTGTGGAAGATGTAATTTCAGTATGACCTTCAAAACACCTCCTATAACCCATTTACCTATTTATCTTACTGAGACCTCTTCAGGACTTCAAAATTACTCCTCTTCCTTGGTAAAGGCGGAAACAAATTGTTCTGTGAACAGACTCTAGAAACAAACTTTTCTGAAAACCAAATACATAGATCCATAAGGGGTATATAGTCAAAGTCTGGTTAATATCAATTCGTTAGTGTGTGAAGAACTTGCAATTTGTATGTATTTTTCATTATACTGCTCAGTCGTTTCCTCTGCTTATACCATATAATTGAACTGCTTGAAATAATAACAGAAGCAGATTTTTTCATTAGATATCTTCACATTATATTCACAGTAATATTTTAAAGCAGCATTTAAACAGTATTTACTATTTTAAGTTTAGTACTAACGTGAGTTTGAGCATAGCATCCACCGACCCCTAAAGAGGCTGTCAGTGTGCTCACAGGCCACTGGAGCTTGTTTAAAAATGTTACCAGTTTTACTGATGGATTCAGGTTTGATGTGTACTTAACGTTAGAACTTTGGAGAAGTTGTTCATGATAACACAGGAGTAGGATCCATAAAGTTCCTTGCAAATCGGATGCTCAAGGTAGAAAAGTAAGAAATTTAAGCTGACTTTTCTTCTAGAATGCTAATGACTGTAAGGCAATAGTTGCACATTTTTCTTTGGAGCTGCATGTGTGGCGTACTTATTTAGCCCCATCTCAATCAGGATTAATTCTTAGTCTTGACAATTTAAATAATGAGTCTTTGCTAACCCAGCTGATTTTGATTGAAAGCAACATAGTGTGCTCACACAAGCAGCTCAGCTAGCAAACCATGCTAACTAATCCATTTCCAGTCCAGCAGTTCAAAGTCGAAGGTGTGCTAAGCTGACTTTTTGACATTTGAGAACAGAAGCTGTCTTTGACCCAGCATGAAAAACGAGATTAGCCTTTCCAGTTTAGAAGGAAAGTATTGGTGAGCACCAGAGGGCTCAGTGTGGGGTCTTTTTAATGGTGGCAGGCTTGGATGATAATGCTGAAAGCATGAGCTGCCAAGTCTATAAGGCAGGATGGATGAAGTACTAATTTGCTTATTGCTTAAATCCCTCAACTGATGGTGAAATATTGTCCAGGACAGACTGCTATAGAACAAAATTACTTGGAGCAAGGTCTCGATACACAGTAAGAATATCTAAAATAATAAAAATAAGGATTTTTAATTGCCGTATGAAAATTCCCAAAGCCTTCAGCTAAGTATATCTGCAAGAAGAATAAGAAACATGAAACTGGGTGACCTGGCCTAAAGGAAAAGGATGTGCCTCACCAAGGATATAATATACAAGCAAAGAGTGTGTTAACATTTGTAGACCTACTAGTAATCAGAAGGCAGATTTTCCTCACAGTTTGGGTGTTTTCTACATATTCAATATTTTTCTTTTTACCTACTGCCAAATCTTAGACTAATTAAGAGCAGATTTCCTGTGAGATTACAGAATTATATGTGTATATTAGTCAGTGACTCTGGAATTGCATTGATCTCTTCCTTTATGTTTTTCCTTGAGTTATTTCATAAACAAGGTCACCCAGCAGCAGATAGCTAAATAGCCTCCATGGTGTGATTCTAGCATACGTGTGTTGCCATAGAATGGTGTCCCTACTTTTCATCTGGTAATTTTATTTAGTAGAGGGTGTCAGAAGCTATATGGTAGGGACTTAATCCAGCAAATGCTAATCCATCAGATCAGGGCCAGAGTGCTCTGTGCTGCTTTGGCCTCAGCCCTAGAGAAAGCTCAGTTTGACAGTCTGGGTTCCCAGCACCACACGCTGCAGAGGGTGTTACCATCCCTGCTCTGTAGTCTGGGCCTCTCCATGGTGAACCAGATATCTATGAGGTGCAGATCAGCTGTGTGGCCTTCACTGTGATGTAGCTACACTACTTTGACATAAAATAAGAACATAGGCTTTTACATGACAATTCCAGCTGTTCAAGTTGAATTAGTAAACAAGAAAAAAAAAAGTAAGTATTTTTTGTTTATTTGACTCTGGTCATGAGTAGCAGTATACAAACTTCTTGTGAAATCAGCTGTCCTGCTGTCCTCCACTCAGATGAGCCAAATCAACATAATGCTGTGCATTTGTGGTGTCTTTTCTTCTTTGCTCAAAAATCCTATGGAAATAGCTGGATTTGAAATAAACCACCAATAATCTGAGTTCAAATGCTAGCAAACCATAAATGGCAGTAGCTTCCTTCAGAGTGATGGGTGAGCTGGGTAAAATGCTACAGCAGTGGTAGAAGGTGACCTCACTACTACTATGTAGACTTTTAACATTGCATGTCATTTTTGCAGTGCCTGTGAAATTTGGAATACCAAGAAAAAAAATTTGATAGTTGAGCCTAAAAAGGAAAGAGACAAAGTATGTGTGTTAATGAAAAACAGTGATTCTTACCACTGAGCATTTTGTTATTCACTACAGGGAAAAAAAAGGCACTGGAGTGTTCTTTCAGGGCTAATAGATTTGCAGTCATGAGACAAAGTGAAATGAAGTATTGCAATTGGTTTCAAGGTGAAAAGTTCCAAATAGATCCAAGTTGTCTTATCTCTCCCTGGTGTCCTCTAGGGGTCTGCAAGTCCTGCTCACACCTGTCCTTGCGAATATTCTTGAAGCAGACCAGGAAAAATGCTGGGGATTTGACCAGTTTTTTGCAGAGACGAGTGACATCCTGCACCGAATAATAATCCATATATTTTCATTACAGCAGATGACCTTGCACAAAGTTTATATTCACAACTGTAATACGTAAGTTTTCTCTCTCTCTCTCTCTCTTTTCATTACTGTGCTGTTATTCAGGCTAACAGTACTGTGGCCTCAAATCAGCAGTATTACAAATTCAGTAGCCTTTCCTTGGCTGTTGATCTGAGGAAGTGAAAGGATGCAGTTCTCCTGCGTAGTCACAGTGTATAGAAGTATGTTGACCAAAAAAAAACAAAAAAAAAAAAAATTGAAGATCAAATCAACTGATCTTAAACTTTGTCCTATTTAGTGACAGAACACAGACTTAATCCTTGACATGATAACGCTGTGTCTGTTTTCATAATGGACCAACTCATCCCACATACGTGTGTTACTTATTTACGAAATAGCTTTGTAGAGACTGTGTTCAACTCTGACTTTTCTTATCCTCAAGAATATTAAGTGTGCACATCATCTTTGTCTGACATAAAACTCTAACAGGGGTTCTGAAGTGGTAGTTGATGCAGTTTAGGATTGTGAGCTATATGGGGTTCACTTCCTGATCATTAAATGCTGCTATTGAAAGCTGTAAGGTAGACAAATATAAGTGCCTTTTCTCTGTCTAATTACAGATAATACAGAGAATGTGTTATTTTCTAATGCACTAACAGATACAGTTATTTCATCAAATGTGTAAATACAGTTCTGACCTTTTCCAATTTTTCTGTTCTGTTATTTGTATTTTGTGAAAGCCCAGATACTGGGTTTTTTTAGAGAAATCTTGCTCGTAGCTCAAACTGTTCTTAGTACTTTATGTTTTTTAACTTGTTCTATTATTATGTATGATTATTTATAAACTAGCTGTGACAGTGTACTGATGCTGCACAGGAGGCAAATTGGTCCTTCCAGTTAGTGTGCTTAAGGTTTTTCTTCCTTGTGGGAGGCTTTGGTTGGTTGATTTGTTTTTTTGTTGTGGTGTTTGGTTTTTGTGAAGTGTTTTATTTTTGCAGGGTGGTGCTGGTGTTACAAATTTTTATGCTTTGTATCCATTGATTGCTGGAAATAAAATTCCAAAGTGTCTTTGGTCTTCCTTATCACTGCTGTTGCAGGAAGTAGTCTGGCTGTCTGTTAAGCCTACAGGCTGAATTTAATTTTTTGACATGTAAGACAACAAAGTTTTCTTCTGGAGAGACTATCCACCTCCTTTGAAGAAAAGGTCATGTGAGAAAACTAAAGTGTGGTTCCTTCCCTTCATCTGGTGTTGCCTGTTTTTACTGACCTTCAGACTTCAGACCAGAGCAGGTTTGTTTACACAGACGTGCTCTGGTGGAAAATCGGGTAGAAAGGAAGTTTGATATTTTCCAGGAAATAGCATTTATTTTTGTAACAGAGCAACCTGGAGCCTTAGGCTGTGTGCTGCTTTTTTTCTATTTCTAGGTCAAATTCTGTATGTGTAAAACCAGTTCTTAATTCATCAGAAGTAAAAGCAATTTTTATTTAAGTAATACAAAATCTGATTTGTTGAAGTATTGTAGTGAGTCTGACTACTGCTGAATATGTTGTTTGTATTATAGAGCTGCTATATTTCATGAGTTGGTCTACAAACAGACAAAAATACCATCTCAGAGTCAAGAACTGATATATGAAGGTCGGCGTTTAATACTGGAGCCTGGCAAGTTGGCACAGCAGTTTCCCAGAACAACTGAGGAGAATCCTATCTTTGTAGTAAGCAGGGAGGCTGTGAACATTGTTGGATTAGTCTATGAAGAAGGTATATGAAAGTAATGTCTGTAAATAATTCTGTAAATAATTTAGGTTATTTAATTGTTGGTTTATGTCAATTATGTATTAGAATTAGCACTGGAAATTTTCTTCGGGGATACCTGAAGTTCTAAGCATGCAGTCCAATGTTCTTAAAACTGCTGAGTGTCCAGCACATTTTCACAGAAACAGTAGCTGCTGGTAACGTTCCAATTGCTTTGAACCTGAGCATTTTTGTGTTAGGATGTAGTGTTGCATATGGAGTTCTGAGATTTTTTTGAAGCATGGCACTTCTAACAAGTAGAAAGGAATATTATAGAAGGTAATTCGAAGTTCATTCTTTTGTTCCATTACAAAGTGAAAGGTGTGGGGTTTTTTTATTTTGTCATTAATATGGTTAGCCTTTCAGTTAGCGGAGGAGTTGTTAACAACATGCATTTGCTTGGAAGATAAGGTAATGCCATAGCAGGAAATAAAAAGAAAGTAAGGCTTTGAATTTCCACTTATCATGGAAAGGCTTATAGAGCCTTTTTTTGTAAGTGATGAGCTGGCAGACATGGCTTTAGTTGAGAGAGCAGTGTTGTTTCTGTCAGTATGTCCTAAATACTGATTGCTCAGGCCAGCTGGCACTCACACTGAGGTATGGGTAGGTGAGCTGTTTGTGGAAGGATCAACAGGGCCTTTATATTGTGACAGAACTTTCTGAAGGAGTCAATGAGCATGAGAACAAAGGAGATTAGCTGATAGATTGTCGTGGTTTA